AAATGTTATAACATTCGATTCCAAAGATAAAATTCTCGAAAAAAGGGGGAGCACATAAGAAAGGCGGTCCTATTTAGGAGGCAAGGCAAAATATATAGACATGGCTAATTATAAAACCCCATAAGAGATTTAAGTACTTGAGAAAGGAATAGAATCGAAAAGAAAAATTGTCGACTATCATAAGTATATATCTTGTTATCCTATTAGTATAAGAAATTTGATATTTATATAATAAACGTGACCATAGTCAACTCATCTTACATGACTATTATACTATCATTAAAGGATTTAACATGCTCAAATTATATAATTCAAGAAATATTATTTCGAAGAGGAGTAAATAGGTATTATATTCTTTTTTCTTTGAACAAGGTTTTTCCCTGTTGGGTTTTCCTAAAAGTATTTTTAATGAGACAACTTTGTAGCGTATTCAAAGAAATAATGTATTCTTTTCCCTTCATTAGGATTTTTTCCACATAATTTTTCCTAATAAGGTTTTAACAAGGTATATTCCTTTTATATTGAATGTCCATAAACTATTGAACATTTATGCACAATATAATCTTATGCTTTTACTCCTATATGTTATAAATAGTATACAAGACTCCCGAAGCGAGTATCAACAAAATCAGTTTTTCAAGGGAACATCATTTTGACTATGTTTGGTTGTTGGTGTAAAAGATTAGTATTTTGAAAAATTAATATAAACAAATAAATGCATCCCAGTTGTTTAATTTTGTATTATTAATTTGATTCTTTTGTTCAACGCAAAAGTCATAATATTTGAGATTGTCTAATATTTCAATGTCAACTATGTTGACATTTTTGTTTTATAAACCCTACAAGTTGTCATTTTAACTTTCCTTGAATTTATGTTGCTTCTGCATACGTAAACTCTGGTGAATGGACCAAACTTCATTGAACAAGTTCCAAAATTCGTTCATTAGTTGTCGTTAAATAAAATAGGATAAACTTGAAAATTTCTGAACAAGTTCCAAATTAATCTATAATTCCTATACTTTGTATAATTAAATGATGAAGACTCCAAGCATATCTCCCAAAATTATATTACTTAGCAGAATTTTGTACATGGTGTTTGATGATATGGCGATTCAAGCACCCGTGTTTCTCAATTACTTTTTGTTTAAGGCAAACAAATCTCCCAAAATTAAAGAGTAACGAAGGTTCTATATGCGGAAGTTTACAACTAGTTGCTAAAAATTAACAGATAATTAATAAGAGGCAAATAGTACTAATTCTGAAAATTTATCGTATTCATAAGACGAACATACAATTCAAAGCAATACGTTAGTTGATGAGAATTCTATGCACCTTACCAGATAAGGTCCAAAACAAAGGCTTATAAAGAGAGACATGACATGTTTTCATTTTGTGGTTATCTTATATTAGCTTGTCTGAACATCGGAGGACCTCCGCCGAGCAACCTGAGTGCCCCATTACACGTATGTTTTTTACGTGTCAGTTCCAAGATTAAAAAAAAAAAACATACAGATTGTTCATATTTTTTTATGACAGCACTTTTATATAATGCTGCCTGTGCAAAATGAATTTTATGTTGCGATGTGATCTTTCTGTAAACATATATTAAAAAAAATATTTCCATTCAAATTAAAGAGGCCAAATTTTGTTGAGAAACTGAAAACCAGCCAGAATCAATAACCAGAAATCACGCACCAGCAGTAAATGAATTAACACCAGCAAGGACAATGAAACTGAATTGAGAGAAAACGAAAATGAAATGAAACTAAAATCTGAAAATGATAGAGCC